TTCAACATCTTCAGAGGGATTCCTCAAAATTCAGCATACCAGGATCCACAAATCCAGAAAAAAATCCTACGATTCCCTCCAATTTTAGGTTCTACTTGGAAATGCTAGCCTGAAATTCCAATAGTTTCCGTTTGTTCAATCAAACCCAGTTCACATAACAGAGAGCGAGAGGGGAATAGAAGAGGGAAGGAAGGAGAAATAAAACCAGTTCTGCCACCAGCTCCAGTGACGAGGACGGTGGGCTTGGGAGGCAGACCGGCCATAGATGCAGAGGTGACTCGTAATCTCCTCGTGAGACCTTGTGCTATTATTGACTTTCGTCTCCCCCGATGGAGAAGCAGTAGACAGAGAGTGAGAAGAGTGCGACTGTGGAAGATTCTCGAATGCTAAAGGTGGAACGACTGGAAATGGGGAAAGGCAATAATGAGGCCACGCCTGCGAGTTTTTGATCGCGACTTTAGCAGGGGAGACCAGATTGAGACACGTCATCATCGCGGACATTGTATTCGTATCAGTTTGGTTTTACCTCCGACTTGAATGCGCGCCCCTCTCGTAGCCGTTGAATTGCTGCGAGGTGCAGTTGGGTTGTTGGAGCGTTTGATGTTTTTTTTCCTTATCCGGATGATGCGAAAAAAATCCTTAAATAGTTAACTTACATTGAGAAGAGGAAGGAAAATGCTTCTTAAGAGTGTCCATTTTGCAATTTGGAGACTCAAGAGTATAATTCAGAGATTTTATGGGTTAGCAGAGTTTGGCGACCAACTGATTTCGACCACTGTTCGAGCTAGAACCTAACCTAACGGTGGGGAGTAGGATATGCGAGCTAATGAGAAGGTGGACGATGAAATTCTAGGAAAACTAGGAATGGTTTTGTGGTCAATTTGGTACGAGCGGAACAACCAACTTTTCAACAACAAGAAAGCGGAAGAATGGGAGATGTGGCAGGGCAGTGGAGCTTTGGGAGGAATTCAATTCACACCACAAAGCAGCTCAGAAGCGAAGAAGAGAAAACTCATCCTGGGAACCGGCGCCGACGGGCTGGATCAAGTGAACGTCGACGCCGCGGTCTTGAAAGGGAAGGACGGGATTCGGAGCAGTGGCCCGCGATGAGAATGGGATCTTCGTGATGGTGGCGGTACGGAGGGAGCGGATCCAGTGGTCACCAGAGATAGCGGAGCTTAAAGCCATCGAATTCGGCATCAGAATGGCTGGACGGAGTGGAATTAATCACATGGTGGTGGAACGGATTGCCAGACCGCATTTCTCGCCCTAGAAAAACCCATAGTCGACAAGAATAGAGAGGGAGGTCATCATTCGCGAATTGAAGGCCGAGCGAGAGGATAGGGAAGATTCGGTGGCGTTTTGCAAAACGTGATTGTAATACTGCAGCCCACAGTATGACCCATATTAAGTTAATTGGGAAGCCCAGGAATGTTGGACAACCAGGCCACCTATTTTCCTCCTTCCAATTCTGGATAAGGAGCCCATTACACATTAATAAATAAGCAAATATTCCTATAAAAATAAAAAATAACTATACTCTTCTTTCGTGACGAGCACAGGGTTTTCACACTAAGGAGGAGAAGGCTGTAGTTATATCCTTTTATCATAATTTATTCTTATCTACGGATACAGTTGGCCAAGGTGGTTAGTGACGACATGAATGCTTAGTTTATGCTCCGATCTCGCAGTAAGAGGTTTGGCTGCTGTTTTAGCATCGGTATGACGCAAGCACCGAGATTTGATGGATTCACTGCTGCTTTCTACCAACGTTTCTGGCTTGATGTTGGGCAATCTATGACGGAGGTTGTCCTTTCCTTTTTTCAAACTGGACGCCTACTCCAGAGTATAAATCACATGTGGCTTGCTCTCATTCCTAAGGTGCCTAATGCTGATTCTATGAATCAATGCGGCCTATCATCCTCTGTCTGGTTCTGTATAAAATTATAGCTAAATTCTTGCTTCTCGGATAAGTCTCATCCTCCCTATTATCATTAGCCCTTATCAAAATGGGTTATTAAAGTCGATCGATTACTAATATGTGTTGATTGCCCAAGAAATTATGCAATTCTTAAAGACCAAGGTGCAGGGAAAGGAAAATGGATGACATTAAAACTTGATATGGAGAAAGCGTAAGACAGAGTTGAATGGAGGTTCCTCATCTCGGTACTAGAGGCGATGGGCTTTTCTGATCGCTCGCTCCGATGGATCCAACATGTAGCACAACTATGTGTTTCTCCGTGCTTATGAATGGCGTGGAGTATGGTTATTTCCGCCCTCAATGCGGTATCAGGCAGGAGACCCCCTTTCTCCTTTACTGTTTGCTTTATACTCGAAAGCTTTTTCTGATGCCATTCTGAATACTGTTATGCTTCTGCTATTCATGGATTACGGGTCCATAGGCTAGCTCCTATTCTTCCCATCTCTTTTTTGCGGATGTCACTTATTTGTTTCTTCGTACCTCTATTCCTGCATGTACTAACCTTATGCAGTTGTTGAGTGACTATGAAATGGTTAGTAGCCAGCATGTCAATTTGCAGAAATCGTAGTCTCACTGAGTCACAATATGTTAGATAAGGAATTGAATGCTTTGACTTCTTTTCTGGGGGTCTTTGTGATGGCCCCAGTGACAAATACCTAGGTTACCCTATCAGTCCAGCGATCTAAGACTCAAACTTTCCATTTTGTTGAAGAGTGTTAGCTAATCGAATCCGGAATTGGAAAATCAATGCTTTGTCCTTTGCAGGAAAGGAGGTTGTTATCATAGCGGTGGGTGGTTCTGCTTGGCCGGTTTACGCCATGTCCTCGTTCGGCTGCCTTCGTGTACTTGTCATCGATGTAACAGCCTCCTTTCTCGATATTGGTGCGCAGGGCAGGATAAGGAGAGCTAGATTCATTGGCTATCATGGACAACGACTTGTCAAAGTAAGTTTCAGGAGGACTAGGTTTCTGTGATTTTGACTGATTCATGTTGCTTTGCTTGCTAAACAGGCTTGGCATCTCCTGCGAATCCTGATAGTTGCCTCGCTTGAATCTACAAAGCTTGCTGCCATCAACATCACCACTTTCTCGAAGCTAAGTCGGGCTCTCGACCATCATGGACATGGCTAGGGATTTTGGAAGGGCGCGACCTACTCAACCGCGGTTTAAGATGACAGATTGAAAAATGGCTCTTCGGTACGAGTTCTTGATGATCAGTGGTTGCCGACCATCCCTCCTTCTTCCCAGTCTTACTGTAGGCTGTCAGTAGTGTTCCTCTTAGGATTTTTTTTATTTAATTTGCTCTACCTGTCGTTGTTGGAAGCAATAAGCTATATTGGGGAGCCTCTTCCCATTTGCCACATTCAAGACCATCTTAGGAATTTCGTTGGCTGTGTACCCTTCGGAGGATCGTTTGATATGGCATTACTCCACCTTAGGCTAGTATACGGTCAAAGCAGGTTACTAGGTTCTCACAAATGAGCTCAACACTCGGGATCCCTCCTCCTGCATTGTCGTTCGATTGGAAAGTTCTAGAAATTCCTATGGAGCCTCCATGTGCCGCCAAAGTTGCGGAATTTCGCGTGGCGGTATGCTCGCGACTTTATACCAATTCAAACAGTGTTTCTTTGCAAGACGCTCGTTACGTCATCGATCTGTCCTGTTTCTCTGCTGCCGAATAAACTCCCCAACACTGTTTTATGCAATGTCTGATAGCCATAGGGGTATGACAACTTGCTGGCAAAAGAGACTATCTGCCAACTTTTAGACAGTCCAGATTATGGTAATGCATGGAAACTTCTTTTCTTCTCTATTTTATTGTCCAAATTGCAGGTCTGAAATTCTTTTTCTCTTCTTGAGGATCTGGGAAGGCAGGTGTCGTGCGGTTCATGGTGGAATTCAGTACCTACCGTCGGCTTTACATCGATAATTCAATATGCAGTTGGAGGAATGGAGGTCCTCCTCTTAGGACCCAATTCATGCACTATTTACAACTCTCACTCGGACTTAGCAAAAGAACAAGGCGGCGCATCAAGCTTCTTCGGGCGTTCTCAAACTCTCGCAAGATATTGGCTGCTCTGCATCCCCCTGCTTCTATCAAGGTAAGCTTCACCGGCTGGGTACAACGTGACCGAGGAGTAGGTGTGGCTTTTGGTTGTCACAATAATTCAGACATGATATTCTTTGCCATGGGTCAGTTTTATGAAAATGTACATGATCCTTTTCTTGCAGATATTTTAGCTTTACGTGACTCCTTACAATGGTGTTTAACTCACAATTTCCTTTTTATCAATTGCCATGGTGATTCTCTCTTCATAATTCGGCGTGTGTTGGTGGCCGATACTCACCATGTCACAGGAGGAGCAATCATTGAAGACATCCGCAGGTTGGCTGGTCTTTTCGTGTTTTGTTCCTACTCCCATATTACTCGTCGAGTTAATAGAGCAGCTCATTTTGTGGCAAAAAATGCTCGCTCATCGGAATTTCGACGATTAGTCGACTTCCGCCCGTGGTTGAATGTTGTACTCTCACTATGTTTCCGGACTTCAGTCTGGGTTTGACTATTTAAAAAAAAAATCCCACAATACAACACCTTACAAAAAAAGTTCAAAATACCTAAGTTTCGTGCAGTTTGCTGCAACTTAGAGCGAACCACAAAACAGTTCGCGTGTCAGGGGAGCAAACTAGGTTATTCGCGGTAAAAAAAAAGCGGATTACGAATTTGTTCGGCGGATTGATGAGAAGGTGGTTTTATTGCTAAGATTTCTGTTTATGAATTTATTGTTAAGATGTTATGAGTGCTCTACTTTAGAAATGAGTTGGAGGTATCTATTAACTTATCTAAATTTTGTGCACTCATATTTTACACAGTATATGTCATACTTAACACATTTTTGGCTA